AAACAGATGTATAAGGAGCTCCAGGTCTTGTGGGGGAGTCAGGTTTAAAAATGTAATCCACTGTGGTTAAGAGCTGAGATAAAATGATGAAAGACAGCCCAGCCCGAGTGGCTCAGGGGTTGAGAGTGGACCTATGAACCAGGAAGTCACAGTTTGATTCCCAGTAAGGGCACATGCCAGGGTTTTGGGCTCCATTCCCAGTTGGGGGTGTGCAGGAGGCAACTGATCAATGATTCTCTCTCATCATCGATGTTTCTATCTCTCCCCCTCTTCTTCCTCTCTGAAATCAATAAAAAATATCTTAGAAAAATGATGACAGTGTTGTGGGGAACCAGAGGAAGGCTGGTCTTTGCTGGGAAAAATCAGGGAAAGCTTCCAGAAAGGCTGTGAGGACTGAGCTGGGGCTGGAAGCCAGAAAAACTAGGAAGGGATGAGGTGAGGGGAAGGACATTGACACGGTGGGAACAGCATATAGAGGCACAGAGGCCAGGAGGGTAGGAGAGCATGAGAAGTGCAGGGAGCCAAGGGCATGTTGGAGGAAGAGAACTAGGCATGGAGTGGGCTCTAGTCTTTAATAAATGTCTGGGATAAGTTAGGGAGATAGAATGAATGGTTCAGTTGCAAATATGCCCAACAGTCTTGAGTATGTACTAGAGATTCAGTGAGTGGTGAACCACAGAAACCGAGTCCTCGGGGAGCTTATGGGCAAGGTGGTGGGTGGGAGCAAAGACAAACCCATGAAGTGAAGTAACAAGCCACCAATATCGATGCCAATGTAGCCCACGCCGCTACCACAGGTGCCTGTTGAAAAGTCAAAAAGCAACGAGGCACTATCTTGGTTTTCCCCACTGCCGACTTCCATTTAAGGAAATTGAGGGCAGAGAGAGGTAATTTCTTTTAACTTAACCAGGTTTAAAAAGAAAATATATTTAGCTCTTTCTGCCAACTATTGTAATAAGCGGTTTCCATATATGAACTCAATGCTCACATGAATTCCAGGAGACGGCACTATTACAACTCCATTTTACAGGTGAAAAAACTGAGGCGCGGGGAGGTTAAGTAACTTTCCCAAGGTCAGGCAGCTAGTAAGTGGCAGAGGCCAAGCTGGGAGGACAGCCTGTAGCATCAACCGTGCTCTCTAGGCTAGATTCAGTCTCCGCGATCCCGGCTTCTCTTGCTTCTTTAAGCCTGGGCTTCTTCGCCCGTAAAAAGGAGGCGAGGGATCCAGCTGTCAGCCTCTGCCCAGGCGCAGGCGAGAGCACAGTTCCGGGGTCATCTCCACGGAGGGCAAGTCCGGGAGGCGGAGGCCCAGGGTCGCTCAGTCTGGGCTAGCGGCTCGGACTCCACCGCCCCGCTCCTCACCGGTTCCCATGACAACTCGGCTAGCTGCCATCCAGGGGCGGACGGCGTGCGTCACTTCCGGATCCGTTTACTTCCGGGTCCTGGCCCCAGCCCGGGTCGTGCCTTTCAGTCTCTACAGTGAAATTCCGCCTCTTCTATCCTCGCTCTTCTGCCTTCCGCTCCTTCCTCCTTCGCCCGTGGGCATCGGCTTTTCCCGGCCCAGCGCGCAGCCGCGGCCCGGCCTCCCTTCGGACCCGCCTCCGAGAAACGTCATTTCCTGGCCGATTGTTTCCGGGTCGCCGCTGGCGCCGGGGTACAGGTCTCAAGCCCCTGCAGCCGCCCGGAGCGGCGAGAGCCCACCCGGCCCGGTCCGGCGGCGGCCGCGGCTCTTTCTCGCTTCCCTCGGCCGGGCGTCTTCGGGGGCAGTGGCGGGGTAAGTGCGGTGACCGCGACGGAAACAGCCTCTGGGGTTTTCCCAGGCGGAGGGAGCGTTCGTCTCGGCGTCCAGGGAGCGGAGTCCCCTCCCGCGCGGCGGGAATGACGGGCGGGCCCGCCTTCTCCGCACCCCGGGGCCCAGCTTGTCTTCAGGATCCCTGCTCCCCCAGGGACTGCTCGGCAGACCCCTAGGACCAGACATGGGTGGCTCAGGGCAGTCAGGAGGAACACCCCCTCGTTGGCGTCTAACGGAGAAGGAGGACATCCCAGTTCCACCGCGAGGCCGTGACGGCGCAGTGGTCCTCAGCCCGATTTTTGGCGGCCGACCTGGGCTTGTACTCACTGTGTGACCTTGGACAAGTCACTGAATCTTCTGAGCCTCAGTTGCCTAATTAATTAGTTAAACGGGAGTGAGCTTGCCTGTTAGGACTGTCCTGGGGATGAAATGAGCTAATGCTTGTGGAGCACCATCTCTGGCATACAGCAGGCGTCCCATAAATGATAGCTGCTGTCAGTTCATTCACGGGCCCGTGGGGAGGCCCCGAGTTCGGGTCTAGGATTTTTGTTGTTGTTTGTTTTGTTTTGTTATCATGACGTGGCCTTCCAAGGTTACCAGGCTGGGAATAGCCGCCGCCCGCTTCTGTCCCCTGCAGGGAGGGGACACTGCTTCCTCCAGAGCCCCTCGCAGAGGCAGCTGCCGCCAGGGCAGCCCGATGTCAGCACCGCCGGGGTTATTTTCAGAGGTTGGGGAGGCCTCTGTCTGTCTCTGATCTTCTCTGGAATCTGGTTGGGGTGTGGGGACCCTCTGGTCTTTAACAGCCAGCGGAAGCTGTCTAGGATATGCCCCCAGAGCCTCGGGCTTGGAAAGGAGTGGGGTGAGGAGGTGACAGGGTTGAACTGCTCTGGCCTTGCCGCTGCTGGGAGGCCGAGGGGCGTCCAAGCCCGCGGAAGCTAGACCAGGGATCCGTAAACCTGAGGACTGGGGCAGTGCTGGGACCAAAATAGCTCCCGCTGTGCAGGGAGGGGGCGCCTTCCTATGCAGCTTGGGGAATGTTTCTGCTTGAATGGGCCAGCTGAGGAAAAGCCAAGCCAATGCTTTGCTTCCCAGAATCATTTCAGTTCCATTCAGTGGGGTTTTAAACAGATTAAGTTTTCCTTTGTGATGTTTAAAAAATAATAATTAAAAAGCTGCCTCCTCCTATCTAGCTCTTCACTGATTTGCTTTTCATAAGAGGTCCAGGTTGTGCCCCTTTTGAAAAGCAAATTAGTGAAGTGCTGACCAAGCCTTTGGCTCTGAGCACCTGCCTGACTTTGTTAGGGATGTTCAGTGCCTATTTTTTTTTTTTTTTTTTCCGCCAGACTGGCACATCTTGGCTTTCCAGTGCTTGGGTTGCCTGGAGAAATTAACAGCTTCTGTCACTGTGCTGTCTGGTCTGTAACCACACTGTTTTTGCAGTGAGCGTGTTTTCAGTTCTTGCAGAGTGTTGGAAATAAATTGCTGGTTCTATGCTCAGAAAAGACACCTGCTATGACCAGCTATAATGCAGCCTGTATTCTCAGAAAATGTAATCAGGACGGATGATGTCAGCTGCTTCACCACTGGCCAGTCTCTGGCCAGCCTCTTCCCTTGGCCCTTAAGCTTACATCATAGAGCTTCCAGCCCCATTCTGTGTGGGAAGATGAATTTTGCTACTACAGGAATTTTGAACTCAACTCTGCTCTCCCTGCCATAGGGTGTTCTAGCTTAGCTGAGCCCTTTCAAGTAGAGCTGTCCAGCAGACCCAGCTGACAGCTTTGCTTAAAAGCAGTGCAGCTGAGAGCTCGAGCCAGGATTTTGGCATTCGACGAAGGTTCAGATCTCAGATCCACTTCTTAGCTAGCCTTGTGACTTAGGACAAGTGACTTGGCTTCTCTGAGCCTCAGTTTCCTCTTTAACCTTGGGGCTGTCCTGTGGATTTCATTGAATTACATTGAGCTTCAGCAGAAGGCCCTTATATACTAATCACTTGGTGAATGGTATTAATTTTAACAATAAATAAGACAAATGGGAAAAAGCACAGGCGCCAGGATTGGCCAACTCAAATTCAAATTGCAGCTTTGATTTGAAGCTCTTTTAGCTCTTTTGGGCAGATTATTTAGTGACTTGGTTTCCTCATAGCATTATTACATGGTTTAGACAGGATGATGGAGTTGAAGCAGAAAGCCCAATGCTTAGCACATAGGACCTCAATAATTGTTTGTTTCCTTCTCTCCTTTCCTTAATTATCTTTTTTTCTTTTTAAAAAAATATATTTTATTGATTTTTTACAGAGAGAAAGGGAGAGTGATAGAAAGTTAGAAACATTGATGAGAGAGAAACATCAATTTAGCTGCCTCCTGCACACTCCCTACTGGGGATGTGCCCGCAACCAAGGTACATGCCCTTGACCAGAATCGAACCTGGGACCCTTCAGTCCGCAGGCCGACGCTCTATCCACTGAGCCAAACCAGTTAGGGCTCCTTAATTGTCTTTTAGCATTAATTTTCTTTCACCGTTTTTCTCACTACCTCGGTTGGTACAAAATTCTTCTTAGATGGGTTCTCATCCTTGACTTTAGGATTTTGAACACCAACTACGCTGTTTGGATCCCTTCTCCTTGCTTATTGTTTGCTAGCAACAAGCAAGGGTGTGGATGTGGTGTGATTACAGAGCAGCAGACGCAGAGCTTGAGGGTGGCTGACTTTGTAAAAAAAATAAAAATAAGAGCCCTAGCTGGTTTGGCTCAGTGGATAGAGCGTCGGCCTGCGGACTGAAGGGTCCCAGGTTCAATTCCGGTCAAGGGCATATGCCTGGGTTGCGGGCTGGATCTCCAGTGGGGGGTGTGCAGGAGGCAACTGATCAATGATTCTCTCATCATTGATGTTTCTATCTCCCCTCTCCCTTCCTCTCTGAAATCAGTAAAAATATTTAAAAAATAAATAAAAATAAGAAATCATCTTCTAAGGCAGTGGTTCTCAACCTGTGGGTCGAGACCCCTTTGGGGGTCGAACGACCCTTTCACAGGAGTCGCCTAAGACCATCGGAAAACACATATATAATTACATATTGTTTTTGTGATTAATCACTATGCTTTAATTATGTTCAATTTGTAACAATGAAAATACATCCTGCATATCAGATACTTACATTATGATTCATAACAGTAGCAAAATTAAAGTTATGAAGTAGCAACGAAAATAATTTTATGGTTGGGGGTCACCACAACATGAGGAACTGTATTAAAGGGTCGCGGCATTAGGAAGGTTGAGAACCACTGTTCTAAGGGCTCAAGGTTGACTTTCTTGAATGAAAACTCACAGCAGTGTTTAGGAGGCTAGATGTCCCTCTGTTTAAATTGTTCTCAGGTACCAACAAGCAGTCCTTGGGGCCGGAGGCAGGATGGAAGCTTACCTTAGATAAATAAAAAGTGATAAATGCATGTGGGTTTCTATTAGCAAGGACAGTGATGTCTTCTCTCAGGTTGCAATACAATTTTGTTTTCCAAGAGAACATACATAGTTTGATACTAGACAGTAAAGTCTTTCAACTAGAATTGAGGGCAGGACTATGTCTTCTCAACGCTGTCCCCTATTGTTCCTACCACCTGGTATCCGCCCACACTGCCTCCAGCCCAGTGCCTGGCACGAGGTAGGTGCTTCGTAAATCCTTGATGAACTCAGGAATCGTGGGGTGATGGGAGCACCACAGGCTCCAAGTCAGAAGGTCAGGCTTGGAATCTTGGGTCCACCGTTGTCTAACCCTGAGCTACTTAGGACGTAGAGCACGTCCTGTCTCGGAGCCTCTGCTCCTCTCTCCAGCTGATCGCCAGGATTCTTGGGAGAGGTAAAGAAACTAAACGGGTGGCATCATGATTGCTCACATCCTTTGCATCATTCATTTAACCTGCTTTATCAAACACTAAGTGGCAGGCCCTGTGTTAGGCAGCATGATGAACAGAACAGATGTGGTCCTTTGCCTTTGTGGAGTTTACTGGGTAATGGGGGGAGACAAAGAGAGGAAGTTAGTAAATGAATAAATACGGTGATAATTTCAGATGGTGATTATCCCAGGATGAGTGGATAAAGGACTGGGAAGGTGGGAGTTACTGAGCTGGGGTTGTCAGGGACGGCTGCTATTTGAGCTGAAGCCTGAATTAGAGAGCCAGCTATGGGAAGAGTCAGAGGAAGAAGATGCAAAAGGAACATGTGCCACGGTCCTGAGATAGAAAGGAGCTTGTATTTGAGGAGCAAGACAGGTCATGTGGGTGGAACTTGAGGGAAGGGAAAGACTGCCATGTAGAGCCTTTGACCTTGGTCAGGGGGTCAAATGCCATTTCCCACTGCTAGGAGCCTCCTTCACTCAGACAGCAGGTATTTCTAAAGCACATGCCCTGCTCCCTGCACCCATGGTGCTGTGATCAGGAAAGGCAGGACAGGTGAGTGTGAAAATGCATATCCTGTGAGATTTGTCCCACTCTGATCTTACCTTCCTGAGAAAGCTTGGCATCTTGGGGGGCATAGCACCTTCAGACACAGGAATGGCTGCTTGTCTATCAGGGACTTCTTTTAAGCCAGCATACTGATTGCATACAATCCTCCCACCAACTCTGGACTCTGGGTACTATTATCAACCCCTTTCTTCAGATGAGAAAACGGAAGCCCAGAGAGGTTGAATAATTTGCCAAAGTAACCTAGAAAAGCAGACCCAGGATTCACACCCAGGAAGCCTTGCTTCGGAATCTGTTTGTCACCCCTGTGCCATGTTGCCCGCCCCTGGCCCTGGCAATATCCTTCAATAAATCCAATTTACTCCCAGCATTGTAGCATGAAGAATATTGCTGGATCTGTAAATGTGCTACTAATGGGTGGCCAAGCAGACAGCAAGAGCGTATAAATTGTGTGTATCTCAGCTCAGAACGTTCTATCCTCTCCCAGCAGAACTGTAAACTGCTCTTAAGGTAAAGGGGAATGTGGGCCATCACAGGCAGATATGAGCACTCTCCAGGGGCCAGCAGCCAGTGTGGTCTCTTTTTAAAATTGCAAATAGGATCATGTTCCACTTCCCCTTGCTTTGAACTCTTCAGGCAGGTGCTTCACATGGCTCTTGGAATAAATATAAAATTCTTAACTTGCCTTTTGAGGCCTTGGGGAATGGGATGCCGCATTTGCCTGCAGCTTCATCTCCCCTCCTCTCACTGCTGCAGCCGCGCCGTAGGCGTCCTTCTGTTCATAGCCAAGCTTTTTCCTTCCTGCCTCAGGAAAGCAGGGTGTGGTGTTACAGGCATGGACTTTGGAACCAGACTGCCAGGTCTCTCATCTCAGATCTGTTTCTGAATAGTTTTGTAACTTTCAACAAGTTTCTTAGTGTCTCTAAGTCTCGGTTTTTACATCAGTAAGATGGGGATAACAGTAATATCTATCTCTGAGGGTTGTTTGAGAAGACAAAATGTGTTAGTACAGGTAGGTCCCTGGCATGCAGTCAGCACTGATAGTGTTAGCTCAGGGCCTTTCTCCCTTCCGACACCTCTGCTGTGACACCCTTTGTCCACCTCTTTGCCTGGCACACTCCTCATCTTTTGTGTCTGTCACGGCCTCAGGAGGATTTTTTAACACTACTCTTCCCACAAAACCAGGTTATGTGCCCCTAATACTTTTCATTTGTGAGCTCACCTGGGAGCATGTAGTACGTGTTCAGTAAATGTGCTGAATGAATGAGCAAATGGGGCCCAGGACTGGTGGTGCCCACTGTACCTTGGGCCAGGTCTGTGTTTTGTTTTGCCACAGCTGATATGTGGACCATTGCAAGGGATGACCTGCTTCTCGTTCTTCCCCTTCCAGAACACTCCGCTGGTCCAGGTGGGCAACATGTTAGTGCTTCTAGCCATGTCCCTGCCTCTAACCCAGAGGCCATGGAGGAGATAAGGTAGCCCCTCATCCCTGGATCTGATGGGGAAGCCCAGTTCAATGGATACAAAATATAAGGATGACTTATTTCGGAAGTATGTGCAGTTCCATGAGGGCAAAGTGGACGCCACCCCCAGCAAGCAGCGGCCTGGCAATGATGAGTACCTGCGGGTGGCAGCCTCGACCTTGCTCAGTCTGCACAAGGTGGATCCCTTTTATCGATTCCGGCTGATCCAGTTCTATGAGGTGGTGGAGAGCTCCTTGCGTGCCCTGAGCTCCTCCAGCCTGCGGGCTTTGCACTGCGCCTTCAGTGTGCTGGAAACGGTGGGTGTCAACCTCTTTCTCTACCCATGGAAGAAGGAATTCAGAAGCATTAAGGTAAGGTCTAAGGTAGGGCCCTCCACACTGGTCTCCCTTCTGCTTTCTTGTCCCTTCCAGTCCGTCTTGCGAGGGCTTGTGCCAGTTTGATCACATTCCTCCTCTGCTTGCAGACTCTCCCGTGTTTCCCACTGCCTTTGAGATAACAACCAGAATTACCCCCATGGCTTCTCACCTTGCCTGTCTGTTAAATGTCATCTCTTAACTGGGTCCCCACCTCTGGCAGCTCACATCTGCTGCTGGGAGGTTAGACAGGCAGGCAGCACCCAGGTTGTGTGGAACCTTGAGGCCCAGGGCAGAGGGCCTGGATTTGTCCTAAGTGGATTGAAAAGTAAGGCGGTGCCATGATTAGTTTACATTTGAAGAGAATCCTCTGGCTGGTGTACGGGCAGTAGACTGTATGGGCAAGAGTGGGCCAGGGAGACCAGTTAGGAGGCTGCTGTAGAGGGCCAGTAGTAACAGAGGAGTGAGGAGGAGGAATCTGGGAGAGAATTCTGAATCATTCTGAAGGCAGTGATGGCTCAGGAGGGTTTTCACTAAGTCAGGGTCTTAAGTCTGACATAGAGGGCGGGGCAAGAGGAGGTTTACAGTTTGTGAGGACGTGAAACACAAGTTTATTCTGGTATTGTTATTTATTATTTTCCACATGAACAATTTAAAACCTATTTTTGCCCCACCTGTATTCTTCAGACCTTTTAGAAATGCCAGAAAGGAATATTCTCATTGCTCGTCTGGCCCTGCTTCTGATCCTCGTTCCTCACCGAGTTTGCCCTGCTCCTCACAGGGAGTAGTGCTGTGGTGCCGAGTAGAAAGCTAGTTGAAGGCTTTGTCCCCTGTGCTTAAGATAGGAGTGGTGCGCCATTTCCCTCACACCAGGCGCTGAGCTGTTGGTAAGCATTAGCCTCTGCCTCCTGTAGTGAGAAGCTATTGGGATCACTCCCTTCCCTTCTGTGGTTTCCTGCTTCCAGTTCAGACTTGGATGTGCTGAGCTTTGAGGCAGTCTCCCTTGTGTGTCAGAGAGAAAGTCCCTCCTCTTTGTCCCCCTTCCTTCCAGACCTACACAGGCCCCTTCGTTTATTATGTCAAGTCCACGTTACTGGAAGAGGACATCCGAACCATCCTGAATTACATGGGCTACGTGCCTGAGTTGGGGACTGTGTACAAGCTCACAGAATTGGTGGAGACCCTGCAGGTGAAGATGGTCTCCTTTGAACTCTTTCTGGCCAAGGTGGAGTGTGAGCAGATGCTGGAAATCCACTCCCAAGTCAAGGACAAAGGCTACTCCGAGCTGGACGTGGTAAATGAGCGCAAGAGCAGTGCAGAGGATGTGCGGGGCTGCTCCAACGCCCTGCGGCGGCGGGCTGAGGCCCGGGAGCACCTGCCTGCTTCAGTGGCTCGAGTGGCACTCCAGAAGTCGGCCAGCGAGCGGGGGGCCAAGGACTACTACAAGCCGCGTGTGACCAAACTCTCGAGGTCAGTGGATGCCTACGACAGCTACTGGGAGAGTCAGAGCCGGAAGCCGCCCCTGAAGACCTCGTTGAGCCTGCGGAAGGAGCCTGTAGCGGCAGAGGTAGGGGATGACCTCAAGGATGAGATCATCCGCCCATCCCCCTCGCTCCTGACCATGTCCAGCTCCCCCCATGGCAGTCCTGATGACCTTCCATCCTCCTCCCCCAGCAATGGCCTTGGCCTGCTGCGTGGCACGTACTTCTCTGCTCAGGATGACGTGGATCTCTACACAGACTCAGAACCTAGGGCTGCATACCGGAGGCAGGATGCCCTGCGACCAGATGTGTGGCTGGTCAGAAACGATGCCCACCCTCTCTACCATAAGCACTCGCCCCCCACCAAAGAGTCCGCCCTATCCAAGTGCCAAAACTGCGGCCTGTCCTGTAGCTCCTCCCTCTGCCAGCGCTGTGGCAGCCTGCTCCCCTGTCCCCCAGCCTCCAAGCCCAGCACCTTCCCCAGCAAGTCCTCCACCCATGACAGCCTGGCCCATGGGTCATCTCTGAGGGAGAAGTATGCGGGCCAGACTCAGCTGGTGCACGTCCACTCAAAATCCAAGTCCTCCACCACAGCCACCTCCCGCTGTGGCTTCTGTAATCGCCCAGGTGCCACCAACACCTGCACTCAATGTTCAAAAGTTTCCTGTGATGCCTGCCTCAACGCCTACCATTATGACCCCTGCTGCAAAAAGAGTGAGCTGCACAAGTTCATGCCCAACAACCAGCTGAACTACAAGTCCACCCAGTTCTCCCATCTCGTGTATAGATAAACTGGGCCTTGCACCTCCCTGCTACAAGGGCTACACCACTGATCTTTCTGGTTTCATGGGGAAGATGTGTTCATGCATTGATCTGGGAAGCAGAGAACCGCACTTGACCATGTAGGTGCCGGGGATATGGGTCAGCTGCACCATGTAGAAGTTCACTTAGTGACTAACATATATCTCAGCTGATGGCTCACTTAGTGACTAACATATATCTCAGCTGATGGCTGCTTTGTTGCCTGACAAGGGAGAGGGTGGCACTTCCATTTAGATTCATTTTTGCTAATCTCTACCCCCCCCCCCCTTTTTTTTTGGACTCTTGCCACATCTACCCTTCCCACCACAAAGCCAACTTGGACTGGGAAGGGCCCTCCAGGTCACTTCCTGGAATGGAGAGCTAGAGGCGTGTTGGCTTGTGAAATGAGCCCTCCTGCCACACTGGGCCTCTTCCAATGGCTCATCCCTTTGCCACCCCCTCCCCAAATACAGTATTAGCTGAATGTCATCCTGTGGCCACCACAACTCAGTTCAGCCCATGGCGTTTGTGAACTTTGCTCCAACACATTGAAGTGTGGACCTTCAACAGCAGGACTGACTCCCCCTTTCTGTTGTTTGCACATGCCCCTCTTACTGTACTGTAAATAGGTAATTTTGGAAGTTTATTTTTAAATAAATAATCAACTTGCTGTGCGTTTCAAAGTGGTTAAAATATTATGTAGCTATTTATAAAAATGCCCGGGTTCTTTAGTCTTCCAAGGGAGTGTCTCATGCCCTTCTGTGATGTGTCCTCCACTCACTGCAGTGAAGGTAGAGCAGAGAGTGTGGGGGCAGATGAGGCACAGAGACAGTATCCCTGAGTCGTCAGTGGAGAACCACTGTCTTCCCTACAATAAATCTCTATACACCTACCTCCAGTGTGCACTTCGGGGGTTAGGGCGGGCCAGGAGGTCGGTGTACCTGCAGACTGTGATACCTAGTGACGAGTCAGGAACCTCACCTGCGGATCTACAGCCTGGTCTTTGCCACTTGCCGAGTGTGAACCTTGCACTCCAAACTTCTTCAGTCTTGCTTCAGAAGGAAACTCATTTGGGATTCCCATCACCCCTCCATCTCAGTCCTCTTCTCTTCATCTGTTTCCAGGACTCTGCAACATTTGCGATCTTTTTGCACTAAAAGTGGGCAGGCGTTGGCGTGCACCCATCAGACAGGTGTCTCCGGAGATTCTCAGCTGAGCCTAAGCACTTCCAAACCCGAAGGCCCCTTAAACTCCTCATGTGAATCACTGACCCCTGGATGTTCCTTTTGGGGTGCAGAGCAGGAGTGGGGCAAGAGTTTGAAAATAAAACTGGTTCCTTGTGAAATAATAATATATTCTAGCCATACATGTTTGTGATGTACAGAATGTTATAGGAATTTACATTCAGTGGGTTTTCTGGTGGAAGGAGGTATTCAGCTCTTGAACAAATTTAAATCTGGCTGAATCCTGAGGCCACTGTGAATTTGCTGGTGTTCTTCCAACTCAGTTGAGTGATTTTAAGGTTTTTCAAATCTTCTATGGCTTTTTTATATATCTAGTAGATCAGATGTAGATATTCAATGTGTATGTAAAGCTGAATTTCAACCAACTTTATTACTAAGACCACCCCTTTCTGGGGCATTCATCTTTGATGTTCTTCCTTTCCACATTTCAGAAGTGTTAATGCCTGTCCCACTCCTGAGAGCTCTAGTTTTCCATTTCCAGGTCACTCCAGCACTACAGTAACTTAACCAGCCGTGATGCCACGTAACTTATGCAGTGGACAAAAGCAGGAATGGCTAACTTGTTCTCAGAGAGAAAGTCCAGTATTTGTATCATCACGGAAATACTGTGTTCGTGGACTGGAACAGAACTGCTCTGACCATGCTCCTCCTTGGTGTGTGTCTTACTGTATGAAGTTGCTGTGAGTGAGAAAGTTAAATATATGCTAATTTAAAAATGCAGATGTTTTGCATTTGATTTCTACCAAGAGTTGAAATGTTGAGAGATGATTTAAAAAAAATAATAAAGTGTCTTCCATTATTAAATAAAGTGTTTGTGGTTTTATGTCGCCCTTCCCTGCTGCTTTGAAGTTTGAGTTGCTCAGTCCCCCCCCCCCCAAGCTATATTTAGTTTTTTAATAACATTTTCTTCTTCATGAAACTGACAAGTAATAAGAGCCAGCATTTGAGTGCTTATACTGTGAGCTAGGCACTTTATATGCTGAGACTTTACATGCTAGATCTTATATAAGTCTCAACACTCCTATAAGATTACAGATGGGGAAACAGGTATACAGAGTTCAGCCATGTTGCCCAGGAGAAATTACAGTTGGTGGTGACTGACAGGCATTAAATAATATTTGAAGGATGTAATGAAAAAAATTAATTGCATTTTTAATTCTTTCGATCCATTTAAATGCCTCAAGGAGGAAGTCAGTTTAATGCTAGCTTGTCTTTAACAAAGAGAAAGCAGGTGTCAGGCTCAGAGCCTTTGGCAGAATCTTAGCTAGGTTTTCAGTTACCTTCTTTTTAGTATAGGCGTACTGGTTTTCCATCTAGAGCAATGATAGGAGATTCCTTTAAAAATAAATTTAAGGTGTTTTTTTAAAAAATGGTTGACTCAAAAGCAAAATATATGGCAAAAATCTTAAGGATGGTATAAGAGCAGTGGTTATTTGGGATGTCCTGTGCCCACGATGTTGAATCCACTGCTGGGTTGGCCCCACACAGTGGCTCAGCTGCAGGGGAAGAGACTGAACAAGTTTCTCCATTTCAGGCACTGGTTGAACAAATATCCAGGCCTGGGGCCATATCAAAGGCCCAGGTGCTGGGTTTGGTTTTAGCTATAGCATAGGAAATGGCTCCCACCATCCTGGCTGCCAGGAGCAGCAGCTCCTAGAGGTGAACACCCAGCCTGGGAGAGCAAAGGAAGCCACACACTCGCTGCTGCATCCAAAGTGGAGCGGAGACTTCCAGCAGATTGCTTAATTTGTATATGTAAATGACAAGCATATTTAAACATCATCAGGCCCACCAGATGTACATTAGCTCGGCTGCCAGCTCCGAGCACCCATCTGTGGCACCCACATGCCTGTACCAGTGTCAGAGGGATGAGAGCTGCAGCAGGTTGAACCCTGATCTCCATTCACCCTTTCTCCCTTGATAATGGAAGCCCTGATTTTCAGACATAGCCATCCAGAATAAAAATGGCCTTTTCCAGCCTCTCCTGCAGCCAGGCATGGCCATAGAACTGTCTGGTCCCTGGGATACAAAAGTGCTTTGTGTGGCTTCTAAGATGTCCTTCCCACCCTGCTCCTCCTCCCTGGCTGGAGAGGCCGTGGTGCTGGTTGGAATGGAGCAGCCACATGAAACTCAGGTGGAAGCCAAATGAACAGAGGGTGGGACAGTAGCTGGAAGGGTTGGGTCCCGGATGCTATTATCTTTCTTAAATCACATTTTCCCCACTTGCTCTTTTAAAAAAAGCTTTTAATTTACCTAAGAAGTATAATGAACTTCCATGTGCATTGAACTCAGCTTTAGCGGTTCAACAGTTTTCAAGTTGTGGCCAACCTGGTTTCCTCCCTACCTGACCATCCACATCCCCAACCCTGAATTCCTTTGAAGCAAATTCCAGACATCTATTTCACTTGTGACTATCCCAGTATGTGTATCTAAAAGATAAGGACTTTCAAAATGCAATACCATTATATCTAAAATTTTATAGCAATTCCTTTATAGTGTCGAATATCCAGTCACTGTCACCATGTCTAGTTGTCTTATAAATCCATACTTTAAAAACAGTTTGGCCCGGCCGGCGTGGCTTAGTGGTTGAGCATCCACTATGAACCAGGAGGTTACCATTCGATTCCTAGTCGTCAGGGCATTTGACCAGGTTGCAGGCTTGGTCCCCAGTGTGGGGCATGCAGGAGGCAGCTGATTAATGATTCTCTCTCATCACTGATGTTTCCTATCTGTCTCTCCCTCTCCCTTCCTCTCTAAAATTAATAAAAATATATTAAAAAATAAAAAAAAATTTGTATCAGGGTCCAAATAAGGTCTCTACATTGCAATTGGTGGATAGCTCTTGATTTCAGATTGGAAGGGAGAGGGAGAGAGAGATAGAAACATCAATGATGAGAATCATTGGCTGCCTCCTGCATACCCCGCACCGGGGTCGAGCCCACAAGCTGGGCATGTGCCCTTGACCAGAATCGAACCTGGGACCCTTTAGTCCGCAGCTCTATCCACTGAGCCAAACCAGCTAGGGATGGTGGATAGCTCTTTAAATCACACTACTCTAAAATGTCCCTATAGAGCAGCGGTTTTCAACCTGTGGGTTGTGACCCCTTTGGGGGTCGAACGACCCTTTCACAGGGGTCGCCTAAGACCATCGGAAAACACATATATAACTACATATTGTTTTTGTGATTAATCACTATGCTTTATGTTCAATTTGTAACAATGAAAATACATCCTGCATATCAGATATTTACGATTCATAACAGTAGCAAAATTACAGTTACGAAGTAGCAACGAAAATAATTTTATGGTTGGGGGTCACCACAACATGAGGAACTATATTAAAGGATCGCGGCATTAGGAAGGTTGAGAACCACTGCTATAGAGTACAGGGGCCCCATTTTTCTCTTCTTAAAATGTATTTGTTGAAGAAACCAGAGTGTCCTTTAGAGTTTGCCAGAGTCTACATTTTGCTTATTGCAGCCCCTGCTGTTCCTGTGTTCTCTCAATTTCCTGAAAATTGGTAGTTGGCTCTTCTTTTTTTCCAATTCCTTACTGATTACAACAGTAGAAAAATAAACATTTCTTATGAGTCAGGGCTGATGCTTCATAAATAAGGGGTGAGAGGAAACAACTTAAGGCCTGGGTGGGACTTATTGCATAAATAAGGTCTGGGCCCCGGACAGGCTGGGGGGTGGGTCCAGGTTCTCAGATGGGCAGGTCTTCACTGGCAACACATTTAGGTGCCATGTGAGGAGACAGAGGAGGTTGAAGGTGACAGAGGCCTCAAGGCAGTCTTGGGACTCCTTTGGGGCCTTCTAGAGACAAAGTCAGTGGCAGAGGTCGTCCCAGGGGTTGGGGCCTGCTGTAGACTGAGCCGAGAAACAAACCTGGAGCTCAGAGTGGCTGTGGCATAGCCTGCGAAGAGGTTGGTCCAGGACACCCCCAGGGACAAGTCAGCCTTAGTTTCCAAGGACCTTCCGCAGCAAGTCTAGCCCCCAGGCCACGGGTGCTCCCACATCTGCAGCTGCCTCAGGTCCTTGGTTCTGGGGAAGAGGCGAGAGCTGCAGCTCCAGTCATTCAGCGAGAGCAAATCTTCCCAGGTTTCACTGGCCTTCTTGAAGGCTTCCAGCTCCCACGGTAATAGAGATTGGAACCCCTCCTGGTTGTGGTGAGCTGGGAAGTAGGGACAGGGCCTGCTCTGGCCAAACCCAGTACCAGGACCCAAGCTGGTAGCCATAGCTAAGTCTCAAGTGCTTCCCCAGCCACATGGCTCTGCTTTTAGCCAGGCTCATTGGGCAGTCCCAACTGATGTAAGTGAAAAAGTAAATGGCCTGGCCAGTGTAGGTCAATGGTTGAGCATCAACCCATGAACCAAGAGGTTGCTGGTTTGATCCCTGTCAGGGCACATGCCTGGGTTGTGGGCTCGATCCCCAGTAGGGGGCGTGCAGAAGGCACCCAATCCATGATTCTCTCTCATCAATGTTTTTATCTTTATATCCTTCTCTCTCCCTCTCTCTCTAAAAGAAATAAAACTTTTTTTTTTTTTTTAAGAAAAAGCAAGTGGAAATTGGCATCTCTAGTTTAACTGAGAAGTCATGAATGGATGGGGCCAGGTGAGCCTGGGCCTGAGCCCTTGACCGGAATCAAACCCGTGACTCTTTAGTCCACTGAGCCAAACTGGCTACGGCTCAAATTCCCATCTTTAGCCAGTAGAAACCTCCTCAAGTTGGCTCCTGAATCCTGACATGACCCTGAAATCTCTGATTGCTTCCTGTCTGGTATGAGAGGGTGCTTCAGGTTCATCTTGTACATGTCCTGCCCAGGTCCTGGAATCAGATGTTTCTCCAAAGAGCCCTGAGTCCCTTCACTGTGAAATGACATTTGGAGACCATATTCTCAGCACTCGGGGCTGAATGCCACTGGGATGGTCACTGTTTCTAGGTGTTTTCAATGGGTAGAGGTAGGAATAGGTTGACAGTTTAAAAACAACAACATACAAGATCATATTTATGCTTTAAATTAGAATTCAGGACCACAGAGTTTTCACTTAACCTCATTTGTCTTTTTCTCCCCATGCTGAGAATCCTGGTTCTCAAAGACTTCAGGGAAGCGACTACTAATTTTGATTTTGTCACCCAGGACTAAAGCTAATCCTGATTGATGTGAGGGCGTCATGGGCCTGAGATGGCCCTTGGAGAGTGTCTGTTATTCACCAGAGCTGGGGCAAAGGACTGAAGTCAGAGAGCATGAGGAGCATTTGCAGGTTTGCACATTTTGCACATACGCTGAACTGGTTGCTCACTGCTCTATTAGGAAATGAAAAATCAAGGATACAGGTGAAGCCAGGGTGGGTGGAATGTGGTTTAAATGCAGTTCCTCACTTTCCCCCCCACCCCCCACCCCAGAGGGCCCAGGGTCCTGGTGTTGAGTGTGAAGCCTTTCTTCACACTTCTTCTAAGTTGTCCGCATCCTTGAGCACCACTGTTCCACAGCGTTGTTCTGCATGGTTTTATATGTACTTCCTATCCTGCATTCTTCTGCAGCTTGCTTTGAGCTGCAGATTGAGTCTAAGATTTATCTGTTAATATGTTCATTCTGGTTTTGTACATTTGTCTATCCATTCTTAACTGCTGTATAGTATTCCACTATATTACTGTGTCACAGTTTATCCATTCTTTTTTTTTTTATATTTTATTGATTTTTTACAGAGAGGAAGGGAGAGGGATAGAGAGTTAGAAACATCGATGAAAGAGGAACATCGATCAGCTGCCTCCTGCACATCTCCTCCTGGGGATGTGCCCGCAACCCAGGTACATGCCCTTGACCGGAATCGAACCCGGGACCTTTCAGTCCGCGGGCCGACGCTCTATCCACTGAGCCAAACCGGTTTTGGCAGTTTATCCATTCTTGTAGTGACAATCCTCTAGCTTGTGTACAACATCTTGCTATTATAGATATTCTTGTAGGTGTCTCCTAATGCATGAGTGGGTAAGAATTTCTCTAGGCCTGGCCAGTGTGGCTCAGCTGGTTGGAGCATCATCCTGTATATCAAAAAGCTGCAGGTTCAATTCCCAGTCAGGGCACATACCCAGGTTGTGGGTTCAATCCCTGATCGGGGTGCATATGGGAGTCAACCAATTGATGCTTCTCTCTCACATCAGTGTTTCTCTCTGTCTCCCTCTCCCTTCCTCTTTCTCTAAAATCTATATATATAAAAGCCCAAGTGACCGAACAATCGGTCAACTGGTTGCTATGACGTGCATTGACCACCAGGGGACAGACACTCAACGCACTGGATTGGGCTCCGTCCTGTCTGGATTGGGCCTGGGGGGATGGGGCCAAAACTGGCTATCTGACATTCCCCGAGGGGTCCCAGATTGTGAGAGGGCGCAGGCCAGGCCGAGGGACCCCACCGGTACACGAATCTGTGCACTGGGCCTGTAGTCAAAAATAAAAAAAAAAGTGCTGGCTGGTTTGGCTCAGTGGATAGAGTGTTGTCGGACAGAATGAAGTGTCCTGGGTTTGATTCCAGTCAAGGGCATGTATCTTGGTTGTAGGCTTGATCCCTGCCCTGGTCAGGGTGCAAATGGGAGGCAACCAATCAATGTGTCTCTCTCACATCGATGCTTCTCTCTCTTTATCTCCCCCTTCCTTCCACTCTCTCTAAGAATCAAAGGAAAAATATCCTTGGGTGAGAATTAACAATAACGAAAAATAAAGAGAAAAAGAATTTCTCTAGGGTAGGCCAGGGATAGGTAAACTTGTTTTGTAAATGACCAGAGAGTGAATATTTTCAGCTTTGGGAGCTAAGAGGCAAAAAAAAAAAAAAAAAAAAAAAAAAAAAAGGTAGGTACTTATTTAATTAGAGAAAACAAGCTTTAAAAAATTCAAAACTTTATTTATGGCCATTGACATTTGAATTTCATATAAATTTCATGTCATGAAATGTTATCCTTTTAAAAAATTTTCAAACCATTTGAAACTGCTGCGTCAAAGCATGGGACACTTACAGGCTTTTGATAGGTGTCCCCACATCGTCCTCCAAAAAGATTGAACCAGCTGGCCCTCCCACCAGCAAGTAGGACTTCACCACAGTGTAAACCAACTACATTTTTGTGCCCCTCCCCCCTTTTTCTTTTTGGTAAGCAAAGCCCTATTTTCTTCCCCATTTGCATCAGGGCATCATCTGAAAACTGCCTGTGTGCAGAGGACCAGGTCCCCAGGACCAGGCTGATGCTAAAGTCCCCAGGTCCCCCCATCACTGACCCATCTTCCTCTACACAATCTGAAGCCCCATCAAGAAGAGCAGCAAATCATTTCTCAGGAACCAGGACCTAACAAATGACAAAAGAATAAGCCTGACCTTCCAAGTGGTCCTTAAAATAAATAACAAATCCTTCATTTTGACAAAGAAAATTGCTTGACAAGATTATGCCCTGGCTGGGTGGCTCAGTTGGTTGGAGTATCATCCTGATACCCGAGGGTTGCGGATTTGATCCCTGGTCAGGGCACATACAAGGAGTCAACTAATGAATACATGAATGGGTGGAACAACAGATCAATCTTTCTCTCAAAATAAAAACGAAAACCCTACATGATTTGGATTCACCTTGAGGACAAATCAAGCTTTGCAGGAGCTGTATTTGGAGAATACGTTAAAGCCTTTGGTAAGCCAGAAACCTCACAGCTCTCCAGCAAGTAAGGAGACTTCCCTGGCTAGTGTGCCCCCTGTTACTTAGAGCAGGGCTGGGACTGTGGAAGTGAGCACCAGGAATATGCTAACAGGCTCTTCCATGTGGCTGAAGGCCCACAGGTGACCTGCATATCCCCATTCATCCCCACACCGCACTCAAGCACTCAGCTCTCTCTCTCACCCACTTCAGGCAGGTCCTGCAGAGCAGCCTGGGAGGACACCAACTCCCGTTAAGAAAGGCTAAGTTTTTTTTTTTTTCCCCCGTCTGGGATAATGCTGGCTGGGGTGGGAAAGGATGGAAAACAGGATGGGCCAGTGGGATGACTGGATCAGAGGAAATTAGAGTCTTCCTTCTTTTGACACATGGCCAGTGAAGTCCCTGAATATCTAACCCCAGCCCTAGCCAGTGTGGCTCTGTTGGTTGGAGTGTTGTCCCGTGCACCAAAGGTCTCGGGTTTAATTCTCTTACTCTCTCCCTCTCGCTTCCCCTTTCTCTGGGATTAAGGAAAAACATATATTTGGGTGAGGATTAAAAAACACACAACTCCATTTGTGTGAGAAATGGCAGAAGCTTAAATGGAAGGGAGAGTGGCTACTTTTCCCCTTTAGGCCTTTACTCTGATTGTGGTGTTTTCATTGAAAACATATGGCCTCGGGCCTTGGGAACTGGGTTCCTGGTTGAACATCTTCTTAATGATCCTGGCTGCTGTATCAGGAACATTTCAGATTTGATTTCCTACTTACCAACCAGCAGGAGAAACAGATGCCTGCATTCTAGAGGGAATAGGGGGAGGGTCTCTTTTTTTCATTTAAAGCTCTAGTCAAAGGCAGAGCATTGCTGCTGAGAGATTCCTTCTCACACTTAAATCAGGGACCAGTTCTAAGAACAGATCCACCCCAAGCCAGGCCTGCAACTTGATGGCCATGACTCGGCTGAGGAAAAGCTGGCCACCACCCTGACTCTCCCGCCAAAGCAGAAGTGGGATCCTGTCCCTGCTACCCCACTGAGGACTTTGCCAAATGTGTGGGCACCTGTGGGAATGTGGAACTGAGACCTTATAGGCCAAGTCTTGCTGATGGCATCTGTGATGTGGGTTTTAAGGAGAGAAGGATTCCCATTCACCAATCTTTCTGCATTCCACTCACACAAAGGAATCTGCAGGCAAATCACAGCCTGTCTGGGCTGACTTGGGGGAGTCGGGCTGCCAACATTCTGGGCCAGGCCTTGCCCCTTGTCCTCACAACAACCAGGGCTTGGTCAACATTCCCACTGTGAAAAGAGGTGGCTGGTCTGAGGGTGGGAGGTCTCAGTTTTGCCTCTAGGCTGAGGGTCTGAGCATCAGACTATGGAACTGAGCCACTTTCTGCCTGGCCCAGGCCAGCCCAAGCTTGATCTCTGGAGACCTAGGAAAAGCCAGCTCCTTTCCCCAGCTCCACAGGGCAGGCATGTTTTCTGAATTTTCTGGCTAAACGGCCAGCTTCTCCAAAGGCACTGACTCCACAGCCTTCACCTCACTCTGAAGTTTTCCTTCTCTATGTGCTGTATACAGCTCTCCTACCCATGGCCTAGACCTAAAAGGAAATAAATATGCACGAAGTCAAAGTTATGCTGGATTTTTAAAATCTAGGCATTTATTACACCAAATAATATAATTATTAGATACACTAAAGGTAGACAGAAGCAATTTTTTATTCTCAGGCAAAGACGTGAAAAAACCACCAGAAAAATGCCTCTTTGTGGGCGTTTGCCTGTTCCAAAGGTGACTAGCCAGCCAGCCAGACTGCTGAGGAACAGAGGCGGCCCACAGGAGATCCAGACCAGTGCTGGGACCTGCCAGGAAAGGTGGCCCATACCCCATAGCCAAGCCTTGGGGACCTTCCACCAACTCCCCCACGTACTTCTCTACCGTAGTGTCATTTTTAGGTCTCAGCTAAAAGTGGGAGGCCAGGCAGGACCCGGTGGCAAGAAGCAGTCTGAATGGAAAAGAACCTGTTTTCATTGCTTACTCTATGAACTAAAAAAATTTTTTTCCTGGCAAGATACTGAGTTTGCAATGCGACTTCCACCTCTGAGATCGGACCCTGAGTTTTAGGGCAGAAAGTAAATTACTTGTGAGTTGGGGGATGAGAGAACAATATGATCCCTGCCTATCCCCCCACCTCATGTGGACTAAGGTCTCTCCCTCTTTGACCTCTTCTCTTACTTTTCCACTAAAAGGAAATAAGAAAATTATGCACATATTACTCCTCCAGTGGGAGTATCAGGTGGAGTAAAAGAATCCTGTTTGGCTCAAATTATTGGGTTAAGGGGGGAAATTACAAAAACAAAAATGCTCATATTTTAGCTCTATAAAGTACAAATTTACTTTTCATGCATAAAAAGGACACCTCGTGCTTCCGGCCTGACTGGCCTTACAACTTACACTTCTGGGGAAAGGGAAGGCATTAGGGAAGGGGCCTGGCCTTGTGGGCTGGACATGAGTCCTGAAGGGTCCCAAGGTCAGTCCTTCCTGACATCCAGGGCCATGCTGCCTGAGGCAGAAGAGATGGACACATATTTGCTGCCAGCCAGGGCCCATGCTGGCCTACTGGGTCCCCACAGAGAACCAAGCACATGTACATGATGAATTAAATCACCCAGAGGGTGCTAAGTCCCAGCTCCAGCTGGGACCCTGAGCCACACATGGAAATGCCAAAACAGCCCATAGATGGGCAACGGCAAGCAGGTACGAGGCTTGTTAAATTAGGGCAGGTGAGGAGTGGATGTGAAAGTCACTAACTCCAAATCATCTGGACATGATTGGCAGCTCTTTGTCCTCAGAGGCCCGGGGGCCAGGCCCATGAAGTCAGGGCGGGGTATGTGTACGGGAGAGAGTGTAAGCACTCTGTGACAGACGGGAGGAACAGGTCCTGGGGTCCCAGTGGCTGCTTGGGGATTTTAGGTGGGGATCGGATGCATGTGAATGCAGGCCACTGGGGAGGGGGTGGCAGGCTCTGGCCCGTCGCCATGCTTGGGCGAACTGGGACCCTGGCATGGAGGACAAGTGGGACCCCAAACAGTAGAGACTTGGGAAGAGGAAATGCTGATTAGCTGTGAAGGTGGCAGCAAGTAAACGGTGGGCAGACCCCATGGAGCCCAAGAAAAGGGGCCTCTGGACACACCACTTTGTTCAAGTGCATGAATTTAAACTAAATTCAGAAGTTGCTGGCCTGCCTAAGCACTGTACTGTTAGATTTGTCCTCTAGAGGGCGCTCTGACACCACAAAATAGGCCCACTCACCCCAAAACCAGCGATGCAGCTTCCAAAGGGGCTCCAAAGAAAGGCCTGTGCCTACGTGCTGGTTACCAGTGTAAACATTCACAGTATTCCCAGAGAAGGCAGTGGCTGCCTGTCACCCAGGGAGACAGCCTTCGAGGTGCCCGTCAGAGGTAAAGAAGAAAAAGGTCACTGTTTTTCTTTCTCAGGGTGTGCAAGCAACATCACAAAGGGGAGTGTGAGGTTTTCAAGGTTTCTGGGCCTGCCACGTAGGTCAGAACTGCTGATGCTGAGGCCCAAGGCACCTTGATGATGATAGGGAAACTGGCAGCTGGCTCCTCGCTCTGCCCGCCCCTAGGGTCATGATGATGGCGTTAGCTGGGAATGACAGAAACTGCAGACCAGCGTTCCCCCGAGGACACCCAGTCACAGCGGCTTCCACACAGGATTTCTCCTCGCAGGCACCTGGGATGGACAGATGACTGTTTGTCTTGGCTGCAGAAGCAAAAGGAAACATTTACCTGGACAGGTTTCCATCTAATCTGCAGGCTGGAAGTGACGCTTTGAGCAGAGGTCTGGCTGGGTGAGGAGTGGGAGATGACATGTTTCAGAAGCCAGCTGGCCTAGATGGTCCGGGTAAAGAAGGCAGCATCTTGGCTCCACCAGGCTTTCATCTTCCTGAAGAGGCTGCCAAATGCACGCACCTCAGGGGCGCTTGCTGGGTGTCCATCCCAGGGACGTGGGGGGGCCCTGCTCGGTCACAGCAGCTCCTGCTCCTCGTCCTCAGAGCCAGAGGGGCCCTGGCGCACCTCCTCGTACCACTTGTTGGTGAGGGTTTTCATCTGGATGCGCCCGTGGTGGAGGTCCTGAGGCAGAATACAAGCAACCCAGAGGGTCAGGGTCAAGGAAAGGAGAGGAGCTGCTTTGTGTCTCGTGTGTGTGTGTGTGTGTGTGTGTGTGTGTGTGTGTGTGTGTGTTGGGGAGGAGGGGATAGGAGGCAGGGTACAGAGCCACAAATAATCGTATAGTGTTAAGTAACTGAGCTAAGGTTCTTCTTTGTGGGGGTGGAGATAACAGGAGGTGTCACTCAGAAACAGGAGGAGTAGGAGGCAGGATGGCATGATGTTAAAAAACAGTGGCTCTGGAATCAGACACACTCGGGCTCCACTCCCAGCTTGGCCTTGCACTGGCTGTGTGACCTCAGGGGGCTACCTTACCTCTCTGGGCCTCAGCTTCCTCAGCTGTCAAGTGGGGTAACAGCTGCATCTGCTGCATGGGTTGTTGGGAGAATGAACCGAAGCAATCATGAACACCATTTGGTGTGGCGCCTGGCTGGTAGTAAGAGCTTAAATACAGCACCGTGACTGTCAGAGGAGGGAAATAGGGCTCTGAGACAAAGGGGGACTACAGCCAGGAGAACCCCACCCCAAAGGCCTGCATGGGGCTGGATGACCTGTTCAGCAAAGTAGATCCAAGCTGGTCCCCATTAAACTGCCTGTCACCCAGAGGTTGGCAGTGCTGGAAGGACGGAATAAGAGCCCGAGCCTTGGGACATTGCCTGTGGTCCTGGCATGTCTGAAATTCCTCAGCTCAGATTCAGTAGCTGATCAATGTCCCGAGTCTTATCATCCAGGAAAAGCAAACTGTGTTAGCAAGTCTATTATTAAACTAGCACTAAATCCGGTAGCAAAGGAAAAACAGCAGATGGGATCCTGGGAAGGAGAGCCAAGTGGGAGGAGGCGGCCTGGCTGCCTCTCCCCAACACAGCACGTGGGCCTTCTCTGTCCCCCACTCCTGGCCACTGCAGGTTCTGAGGGAGGAAGGCAAGAGACCCCTGGCCATGTGGCCCTGGCCTGTGTCCCACCTCCTGGGTCAGCCGCCGTGTGAAGAAGGGGTTCAGGTACTTGACATCCAACCACAGGAAGCCTTTGAGGTCCTGCCGCCTGATGTAGTGGGCTTCATACTCCTCCTCGGTGAGCTCCGACAAGTGCTCCGACTCCACTGTGTTGCCCTGAGGAGGAAGGAAGGAAGGCAGCTGAGGGTCGGTAGATGGGCTGACATCTTCCTGGAAGCCCCCACACCACCCAGCCTACCTAGCACCCCTTCACCCTGGCCACCAGTGTCCCCAACCCTAACTGCACTTTCTAATCAATGCAGTGTGTCTGTGGGTAGCAAAGGGCTTCCTGGGAGCCTGTAGGGAGGTAGGGAGGTTTGTAAAAACATGATGGATACCCAGGAATAAATCAGAATTGTGAATAAATCAGAAGTTCTGGCTGGGGCTGGTCCTGGTTTGTAAGCTTCTGGATTTTAATGTGCAGATCAGTGCCAGGGAGTGGAGGGTGAGGGTAGTGGGAGGACAGGAGACACAGACACAATCCCAGTGGGAACCAGAGAGGAATGAAGAGAATGACTGCACATGGCGCAGAGCAGGTCTGGAAGGCAAGTAGGTCTCAGGTTCACTGATCTACTCAGCCCTGCTCCAGGCCTCTGCAGAGCCGACCATACAGGTTGTGAACAGTGTTTGCTGTTTTGCTAGAGGAGCTGCTCTCCAGCCACCGTCAGCTAACTGGGCCTCCACTGGGGAGCCCTGGCAGCTGGTGCAGGTTTGAAGGGCTTGTGAGTCCATAAAATGCTGGGCCCACTTGCAGAGCTGATTTAGGAGGTCTGGGATGGGGCCCAAGAATATGTATTCCTACCAAGTCCCCAGTGATGCTGCTGGTCCAGTCCCACCTTGGGAACCACTGGTGGAGACTGGCGGTTAAGAGTGCAGGCTCTGGAGTCTGTGTGACCTTGGCTGTGTGATTTGGCCTCTGTGCCTCAGTGCTCTCATCTGCAAAATGGGCATAATGAGAGCCTCTGCGTCCTGCTGGTTATGGGTGACCTGAGACAGTTAAGGAGCCTCAAGCACAGTGCCAGTGCCACAGGACATTCCTTGAACAGCATGTGCTTCCTCTGAGCAAACATCCTGCTTCTTCTAGAGCCCAGGGTGGTAAATTCACCAAGTGTGGCTGCAGGATCAGCACCTGGCAACCTGTTAGAAATGCAAATTCTTTCTAGCCCCACCCAGACCTGTAGGACCCTGGAGCCCTTCACCAATTCTGACCCCACTGAAAGGTCTCAGAACCTACACTAAAACTGTTATTAAAAACAAAGTTTGGCCCTGGCTGGATGCTCAGTTGGTTGGAGCATCATCCCACATACCAATAAAAGGTTGCGGGTTTGATCCCAGGTTAGGTCAAGTATGGGAGGCAACTGATTGATGTTTCTCACATCAATGCCTCTCTCTCTCTCCCTCCTCCCCCTTGCTCCCTCTCTAAAATCAATAAACATATCCTCCGGTGAGGATTAAAAAACAACAACAAAGTTGGAGAGTGGGGGTGGGGGAGAAAGACCGCTGAGAGGAGGAAGGTTGAGCAGCCCAGCATGAGGCCGTCTGAAAGTTCCTTTCCAGCAGCGCAGAGACTAGAGGCCAAGATCTGCCCAGACCTAGACTTTCAGAAGAAGTGGGCACATCCCCTTTCCCTGTCTCCTGGTTGAGGATCTCTGTGCCATCCAAGACTAATTCAAGTGACTGATGGCCTCGAATAAGGCAACTAGAAAAAGATGCATTTCTGGAAATTTGTGTGGGGGAATGGTGGGTGCACAGAGGTGGGAGGAGAGACTAGGGCGCCCACTGCTCCTGTCAGAGTCTTGCTCAGCACATGGGCCTGAGGGGGACACAGGGCAGGAAAGGCATGCCCACAGCTGACCTGGGAGTAGCGGCCCACAGGCAGGAGCACTGCCGGGCAGGAGGGTGGCTTGGAGGAATAGAGGTGGGCAGTGGTATGGGGGCCTCAGGTTCACTGCAGCTGGGCCCTGGGTGCGTCAGCCCCAATCAGGCCCTTGTCTGGCCTTGGTGGAGGACACCTCTCTCATGGCCCTCAAAGCCACTGTAAGCACCTTCCTCCACTCCAGCCCCAATAGGAGGCATTCAGCAGACATTGGGGAATGACAGGATTTTGAAACCTTCCAGTCCTGGGCCCTGATGGGGTGGGCGGTTCCTGGCAGGGGAGGAGTGTTGCTGGGAGAGTCTGATACAGGTCCACGCTTCCCACCCCTGACCTCCATGGCTGCACCAGGCCACGAGGCTGGCAGATAAGCCACCACAAAGAGCCAAGCTTCAGAACCTTAGTTCACCCCCTAGTCAGGTTGGGCAACTGCATGTACATGGGTGTGTGTGTGTAGGTGCTGAGCATCCTCAGATTGTTCTCATTTCCCCATTTCCTGGCAGTCGGTGGGGACCAACCCTCTGCCCTGCTCCGGCCCACCAAGCACTAACCATCTTCTCGGTCTTGCTGAGGTTGACATCCTTCTTGTTCCGGCGACGCGCCTTGGCGTCCTCGATGTCCATGAGGCGGATGAGGGGCATGGTGCTGCCGCCCAGCAGCAGGATGGTGAAGAGCACGATGATGATGGTGGTGGTGCCGATGAGCTGCCGCTTCTCCATGGGCTCCAGGTCCAGGTGCAGGCTCAGGGCATAGGGGATGGCACCCCGCAAGCCTAGGGGGACAGTGAAGGGAGTCAGAGGACCATTGGAAGGAGGAGGAGAGGCAGCGGCATCCTGACCCAGTTCTCAGGGGACCTGGGACAGCCCAGCGTCATGGGCAGTCAGACATCCTAACAGATGCCCTGGAGAGCACAAACTCATCCTGTGAGGCTCTGGGGTGTGAGAAAGGCAGGCCACAGAGAAGGGGGGCCCAGGTGGAGGCTCACCTCCGTTCCCACTTCACAGGGGGCTTGAGCAGATCAAATGAGGTGCCCTGTCCAGGCTATGAAGCCCGTGTGTGTGTGTGTGTGTGTGTGTGTGTGTGTGTGTGTGTGTGTGTGTGTTTATCAAGCCCAACACTCACATTTTAGAAATACAACAGCTAGTGCAGACTGAGCCCTCCCTGTGTGTGAGCCAGGCCTGTGCTAAGCGCTCTGCCTGCATGACCTCATCTGCTGTTCCCAGGAAACCCTGTAAAGCAGGTCCTATTATTCTACAGACGAGGAACCGAGACTGAGGGAACAGTGTCCTCCCAGGGCCACACAGCTTGATGGGCAACAGCACAGAATGCAATTTGTCCGGTGCCTCCCAAGCAGTTCCTGGCAGCACTGGCAGCCTGGGAACCTGTATTATTTCTGGCTTGTGAACACACTTGTTTTTAAAGGGCTCTAGCCCGTGTGCCCTCTGCATGGTGTGTGCCTTTGTAAGAGGTATCTTCCCTCCACTGTTCATTCAAGATTAGACTTACCACTAAACCACATGATGAACATCATCTTCGGTGTGATTTTATGATCACGGAAGAAATTCAGAAGGTAGGAAAGAGGGAAAATATTCACTGCTCTGCCAAACAGTACAAGCACCTGTTAATAGCAACAAACCAAGTCTTAGATGGGAACTTCTGGCTCTTTAATTTGAAGCTTACTGAGGCTGACACAGGCCTGTAGCACACCCACTATAAATAGGGCGTTCCCCTGGGTTATAAAAGGTGTGAATAACAAGTGCTAGTCAGAAACCCAGCTGAGGTTGCCTGGTTTGTGTGTCTGGGAAAGGATAATGCTTTTTACGTCACATCTCAGTAGTCAGTGAGAGAGGACATCAGCAATGGCTTTAGTAATGACAGCAGAACAGAACCGAATGCCAAGAGGCCGTGCAGAAGTACCCAGAGATTATTTAGTTTAAGGGCAATCTAACTCCTTCAAAGGTGCTCCACCATGGGACAGGGCTGTGCTAATCACTCCCAGTGGGCTAGCTCTGGAGGCACGGACAGGTGTTCCTGCTTCTCCCATGGGGGCCCTACTCCTCAGGGAAAGGAGGAAAGACTGAGAAGGGCCAACCCATATACCTAAACGCTACTCCCTGAGCAAAAGGAACACACAGGTAGGTTTTAAAAGGTCACACAACCCAGCAACTTGCCATGGCTTTGGGTTCCTAACCATTTCAAAAGGCATGTTGGTCTTAACAAAATACAGCTTTATGTTAAGTTTAAACCTTATCTAAGTAGATACTTAGAGCTACTTATTAATTTACCTCCATTTTTTAATCTTGAAAAGGATAATATACACACCCACATTCTGTAGGCTCTAAGTTTACCCTTTTAACCAGCACGGATTGAGTGTGCTTTGGAGTGTGCATGCCTTGGACGGTCAAGTTAATAATGGCTCCCAATCATCTCACATTTACATGTCAGACAATGTGCTAAGCATTTTATATGCATTATTTTGTTAAATTTAGATCCCTGCAATGGTCTTATAAAGTAGGTATTACTGTCTCCATTTTGGAGACAAGGGAACAGAGACAAAGAGAGGTTAAATAACTGGCCCACGCTGAACCCGGCAGGAAGTGGTGGAGCCAAGTCTCAAATCTGGTCCAGTCCCCAAAACCCATGCCCTTGACCACTGAGCCAGTGTAAAGTAATCCATTCGCAAAGCATAGGCTGCGTCCAGGAGGGGCAGGGCCAGCCTATGTGCTCAGAGAAAACCAAGTCACCACCCCAGGGCATCTTCTCATTCTCCTTTTCCTCCCAACCCATGGCTGACACAGTCACCTCCCTTTTTCACCCACTGGAATCCAACCTCCCAATCTGACACTTGCACTTCAGGTTTCACCAAAGGTGGCCCCGTTTACCCAGAGACCACACTAAAGACTATTATACTTTCTGAAAAGACTGGCTTCTGTCCTCCTGTCCTGAAACTGGAGTTTGGAGGACAGATAACAGAGACAAAAGCCACACACTCTTGCCGAGAGAGGTGAAAGCACCCAGGTTTCAAGGAGAAACATCTTTTTCCTTAGGGCTCCTTATCTTCTCTGTGTCTCAGTTTCCCCACAGGCCAAACAGATAGACCTCCCTGGTTCGCACATGGTAGATGACTATGCAAAATAAAAAGTTTGACTCTCAATAGCTATGCTTTATTAAGTGGAGCTGGTAATAATAGTTAACTGAAGATGAATTATGATAATTCAAAAATAATAAGGTATACTTCTTAAGTGCCTTAGAGTAACATAGGATCTAAAGGGACAACAAAGATCAAATTAGGGATTGGAGTCTGAATCAGTTGGAGGGCCTCCGGGAGATGAACTCACTCTGAGGGAAGAGACACAAGGAGGAATACAGACAAGCAACCTGGGGACACCAGGCTAAATGCCCGAACTGTTAGAAGCCCCTCATGTCACTTTGATCAGATGCCTGAGAGAGCTGGACCTTTCTTTTATTTTTTAAATGTTTCTACTAATTTTAGAAAGAGAGAGAAAGGAAGAGGGAGATGAGAGAGAAACATCAATGGCTGCTTCCTGCATTTTCCCTACTGGGGATCGAGCCTCCAATAGGGGCATGTGCCCTTACCAGGAATCAAACCAATGACTTCTTGGTGTATGGGATGATGTTGAACCAACTGAGCCACACTGGCCAGAGGTGGACCTTTCTTTTAAATGCTAAACTTTTATTTTTCCCACAAGGACTTGATTCTCCTATAAATGATTAATCTTCTACTTTCCTTTTTTAGAGATGTATTTTAATGTGTCTCCTACTGCCACCCCCAGTCCAACTATAACAGTTTCCCAAACCTTCTTGATAGTAAGAATCACCTGGGATGAGTACCCTGGATGAATCTTCAGGGGAACTAAGGGCCTAGTAATCTTTACACAGTGTCCAAGGTCAAGCTTATGAATGGACATCTGAAGAGAACTACAGTAAGAAATACATGCATTATAAATTATCCAGAAAGCATGGAAAAGAAAAAAAAATCATCCTCAGTTCTACAAGCACTGGGAACATTTGGTGAAATTTTCTTTTTCTATGCATAATGTTTTTACATGGTTATGCTCAACTACATATTCAATTTTGAAATCTGCTTTTACCACCGAACATAGAAACACATACAATGTGCTTTTAAAAGAAGACCATATCATTTAAGGCCATTTAAAATTAAAAAAGAAGCAAAAATCTTTTTCTGGGGATATTCATTCACTTAATTCCACCCCTTTATTTTATGTTTGTGATTTTGTAACAACAACAACAAAAAAACTTAAACGTAAGAGTGTCTATGTAGCTGTTGACTTTGAACAGTTAACAGTTACATAAATGAATCCAGAACATGTGGTCATTGAGCTATGAATAAGTAATTAAATAAAAAACAAGGAAAATACTTACTATGCACCAGACGACAAAGGAAATTTCAAACTTGTGAGGGAAACTAAAAATGGACAGGCCAAGAAATGCAAACACACATGTTTCTGAAACAAACCAAAGAATGGATTATTTAGCCCAGACTATTTCTTCCAATACAGTACTAAATTGTTAAGCAAGCAAACTTTCACAAGTAAGTAACACTTTGCATATTTTCTGAAACATCTGCAACCAATACCTGGTGAAACTAGTACTGTGATTATCTCATTTTTCTCTATCACACAAGCAACATGTGCTTGCTATTCCGAATCTCCTAATTTAATGAGGCAACTGTCACATACTCATGTAAATAAGTACTCAGTCCATTTGCTGAACACTGTGATTAGCAAGGATCCCGACTGCCGGTAAAGTGACAAAAATTCAGAGCCAGTGCTGCAGACACCACCTGACTAGTGTGAAAGGGCCCTTTGTTATCTTCCTGGCCATAGCGGACAAAGCCAAATGATTGACCTCATATATTTAATCCCACCCCAGGTTTAGAAGACAGCTCACACCCTGCAGCATTTGCAGGAAGGAGTACATTTCCAGCTCTGGGCTCCACCCCACAAGAGTCCAACATTTATGCTTATTGTACAAGCAGTTGCTGTGTATCCCAAAGAAAAGGACCTTATACATTCCCACCACTAGGCTCCCTGCTTTTTTTTTTTTTGATATATATATATTTTTATTGATTTCAGAGAGGAAGGGAGAGGGAGAGATAGAAACATTAATGATGAGAGAGAATCATTGATCAGCTGCCTCCTGCATGCCTCCCACTGGGGATCGAGCCTGCAACCCAGGCATGTGCCCTTGACCGGAATCGAACCCGGAACCCTTCAATCCGCAGTCCAATGTTCTATCCACTGAGCCAAACCGGCTAGGGCTAGGCTCCCTCCTTTTATTGTGATGCCCCAGAACAGCCTCATAATCAGGGAGAAAAGACTGTATCGTAAAATAGTTGAGTCTCATAATACAGCAAGGCTGTTTTAAAACATTTTGCCTACATTTTTTCCCTTCAAATGTGTATCCTTTTAAAATAAGTCACAAGCTGGACAGTAGATTCACCCCTCTCCTCCTCGAATATTTTTTTGTGATCTTTCCAAATGCTCATTTAGGTTGCCTTGAGGTCTACATTATGCTTTTCTCTGGCAGCATAAATTCTACTGTACAGGATTGGGCAAAAGTACGTTTACAGTTGTGAGTATATGAAACACAGAATTTAATCTTGTATTATATTTATTAATTATTGTATTCCATATGAACAACTGTAAACCTACTTTTGCCCAACTCTGTGTTGGTATGTCATGGTTAATTTAATGAATCCTTTGTCAATGCTTATTGACTGTTTCTATTTCTGATATTACAAACTACAACAAGCATCCCTGTGCACAGGCAAAATTCCTAGTAGAATTGCGGGTCCAAGGGCTCGTGCCTTTTAAATTCAGACATGCTGCAAATGACTCTCCAAAGAGATGGCATCAACACACATGCACATCATGGCCTGTCCTACAAACACCGGTGCAGGAAGTGGGTGTTATCAAATTTAACATTTACTAATCTGATGGGTGCAAAACAGAATTTGATGGGTGTTTTGCTTTACACTCCTTCATGGTGAGTCAAAGTCTTCAGCCATGACTTTCTGAGAGGGCTGCTATGGAAAAAATACCTGCTGGGCCAGAAGAGACAGACCTGGCTTCAGAGTCACTTCTGAACCATGTGACTGTGGACAAGTCATTTGACACCTGAGCCTCCTTATCCATGGACTGAAGTCTGCACAGCCTGTCCCTGCCGCCTATCTAGCATGTGACAGTGTGGAACTCACACTTCAAAATGAGACAAGCCCCACTGAAATGTCAGGGGGGATGCTGATGGTGACAGCTAGGGCACAGCCACTTGGGCACCAGTGCAAAGAGACAGTGTGAGAGTGGTTCCTTCATGGCCAGGCATAAACTAGGGAGGAGGTGTATGGGGGAACCAGTCATCCTGGGGCACCCCAGCCCAACAATGATACCGCCCCAAGTTAGGTCTTTCAAGATGCTCCTGTGAACAAAGGGTCCCATGGACAAGTTTGGGAAATGCTGGTACTACAGTCCTCTCTCAGAAGTTCACAATGCACGCTGCTGAAAAGTCCTGCAGTTCAGAAACTTGTTAAACTTTATCCCAGGATTTCCCACACTCTTTATTCACTTAACCCTCATCAATATCAGTTCCAAGGAAAACATATTTGGAAATGTGACTTTAATACATTAAAATGCATGAGGCGCAAATATTCATAATTAGTAGCTTTCATTATTTTGGTTTTAAAATTGTAGGCAGCAAATATTCCATTTGTTAAGTATTAGGTTTACTTTATGGAATTTGAAAGCCAGAGTAACAAACAAAAGATAAGGGAGTGCAGGTCTGGCTCTGAGGATCCTGCTGCCTCTTCTGCCAGGAAACAACTGGACTCAAACAGGGTAAGAAGAACCATCAGCTCAGGGGAGGCCCATGCCAGACCACCGAGAGGAACTCACCACACAAGAAGGCCACGGTCCGGAGGGTCTGCTGCATGAGGATCTGGGTGACCGGGGACAGGTTATGGTGCGTATAGTGGGACATCACGATGCCTGAGAACAGGATGGCCATGATGCCTGGAGAGGGACAATGGGGCATAGCGCCCAGACATGAGCAGAGCAGAAAAGCACCTACCATGTGATCCACAAATATGTCACACTTCCCACAAGTCCCTGGAGCCTATAGTGTTAGGTGTTTTAAGGAAAAGGAGCCTGGCCAGTGGTGCTCAGTGTTGAGCGTCGACCTATGAACCAGGAGGTCACGGTTCAATTCCTGGCCGGGGCACATGCCCAGGTTGTGGGGTCGCTCCCCAGTGTGGGGCATGCAAGAGGCAGCTGATTTGTGATTCTCTCTCATCGTTGATGTTTCCATCTCTCTCTCCCTTTCCCTTCCTCTCTAAAACCAATCCTATATAATAAAGAGCTAATATGTTAATTAGACCGGATGGTGGAACAACCTTCCAGAACGACCAGTGGGCAAGGCAGCTGGGGCCTTGAGGGCCGAGGCAGCTAGGGCTGTGAGGGCCAAGCCCCTTGCATGAATTTCATGCATTGGGCCTCTAGTAAAAATATATTCTAAAAAAAGAAAGAAAGAAAAAGAAAAGAAAAGAAAAAAGAGAAGGAAGTAATACCCGAGGCCTACCAGAGATTGCAGAGAAATGCTAAGGGTCCCTTCTTTCTGGCAGCTTCACTATCGGCTGGCTGACCTTGGGCCAAATTCCCACACCCCCATCCAAGCCTGTTTTCTCATCTGTATAGTGGAACTAAGAGTACCCACTCATGAATTGTATTATTTTCCATATGAACAACTGTAAATCTACTTTTGCCCAACCCTGTATTGGTATGTCATGGCTAATTTAATGAATCCTTTGTCGATGCTTATTGACTGTTTCTGTTTCTAATCTTTATTACCTTCTTAGGAGGGTAATGAAGAATAGCCACACAAAGTGCCCATTACAGGACAGGTGTGTGCTGTCACTGCCATCCACAGATAGAAGGAGGACAAATGAGCCACTTAGAGAGCATAAGAATCTGGGTAGCCCTAGTCCAGTGGTTGGCAAACTCATTAGTCAACAGAGCCAAATATCAACAGTACTTCTTCAAAATAGACTTGCCCAGGCCCACGAAGTTTCAATCGCACTGTACGTGCACCCGCACGTGGTATTTTGTGGAAGAGCCACACTCAAGGGGCCAAAGAGCCGCATGTGGCTCGCGAGCCGCAGTTTGCAGACCACGGCCCTAGTTGGTTTGGCTCAGTGGATAGAGCATCAGCTCGAGGACTAAAGGGTCCTGGGTTCCATTCCGGCATGTACCTTGGTTGAAGGCTCAATCCTGGCCCTGGTTGGGGCATGTGTGGAAGGCAGCCAATCGATGTGTCTCTCTCACACTGATGTTTCTCTCTCTCTGTCTTTACCCCTCCCTTCTACTCTCTCTAAAAATCAATGGGAAATATCCTTGGATGAGGATAACAAACAACAATAAAAAAGAATCGGGGTAGATTTTGATTTACTTTGCCTTAATTTTGAATTTCCCTATAATCACATAAAATACTCTTCTTATATAGAAAAAGAGATTCGTTTAACACATAATGTCTTTTTTTTACAGCACTCCATGAGAGTCTACAACTTTTGTTGTTTACTGAGGATTTGAGTCTCACCATTTGGCCACTGCCCATAATCACTCCTGCAGCACTTTACGAGGGTTTCCTCTCAGAGTGTCCTGGTCTAGGATCTCTAGTTCATGTAAATACAGTCATTAAATAAGCCAAAATATATGAACTGCAAGTCAGACTTTATAAGCAAAATATTAACTCCTTCTGCCACTTTGTAGAAACAGGGATTACTGGTGAACATCCTATATAATAAAAGCCTAATATGCTAAGTGTCTGGTTGTCTGTTCAACCAATCAAAGCATAATATGCTAATGATATGCTAAGGCCTCTCAACCGCTCACTATGACATGCACTGATCACCAGGGGGCAGACGCTCCAACCGGTAGGTTAGCTTGCTGCTGGGGTCTGGCCCATTGGGACTGAGCAAGACGGGCCGGACACGCGCTGGAGCCCTCCCGCGGTCCCTTCCCAGCCCTGTCCCTCCCCGGCCCGGATCGTGCACCAGTGGGGTCCCTCCACCTGGCCTGCTCCTTTCCTCTTAGCAAATAGCAAATTCTTTGCTCTTTCATGTTCCTGTATAAACAAGGCTAGATGGGGACATTTCAGCAATGCTGCCTACAAGCTGCACCGGACAAGATTTGGGAGAAGGGAAGGAGTGGGCCAGAGACTTCTGTACTTGCTACTGCAGACCACTGAGAAGACTGCAGCTCAGGAGTCATTCTGAATGATTGCTCTGCGAGATAAAAAACAGAGGACAACAGCCTGATCGGAGTGGCTCAGTGGCTGAGCATCAACCTATGAACCAGGAGGTCATGGTTTGATTCCCAGACAGGGCACATGCCCGGGTTGTGGGCTTGATCCCCAGTGTGGGGTGTGCAGGAGGCAGCCGATCAATGATTCTCTCTCATCATTGATATTTCTCTCTCTCTCCCTCTCCCTTTCTCTCTGAAATCAATCAAAATATTTAAAACAAACAAAAAACAGAGGACAGCAAACCTGGTGGTTCTCTCAGTATGTTCCTGCAGGTGATAGCTGGAGAGCTGACCCTGCCTGAGCCTGCAACAGAGCTATCAGAAGGCAAAGCAAAGGGAGATGGCAGAGGAGAGCCCAGAACCTGGGTTTGGAACTCAGTGGAGATCAAAGGAGGAAAAAAAGGTAAGACACAGTTCTGTTTTTATGGAACGGGCTTTAGCACTGCAGGCCAATGCAGAAAGTTGCTGGCTTCTGGGCTTTCAAAGGACATTGTTTCACCAGCTCATTTAAATAGGTTTTTATTGATTTCAGAGAGGAAGGGAGAGGGAGAGAGAGAGATAGAAACATCAATAATGACAGAGAATCATTGATCGGCTGCCTCCTGTAGGCCCCGCACTATGGATCAAGCCCACAAACCAGGCATGTGCTCTGACAAGAAATTAAACCATGACCTCCTGGTTCATAGGTCGATGCTCAACAACTGAGCCATGCAGGCCGGGCAACAATGAACTTCTTGAAGGCTGAGTCAAACCATAATCAGTTTTCTTTATTAATTACCCAATAATAAACATATTTCACTATAAGACATCTAGACTCAGAGGTATAGAGTAAAACAACAGTCTCCATTCACAGCGCCTGTCCAGAGATTAACTACCATTAACTGTTCGATATGCAGATTGCCAGTTCTCTCACTAAGCCATTAGGAAGTTTATCTTTAAAAAGTAATAAACAGGGTCCTGTTAGATATATGGCATGTTTTGCTAGCACAGTGGATTTTCTTCAAAGGCCTCCAACATTTGCCTTCACATGATTAGCAGAGTCCCAGGCCTATAGAACCCTACGGGATGGGCTCCTGGCCCCTCCATCCCAGCCGCACAGTCTTCCTGCTCTTCTGGAGCATGCCTCACTCCTAAACACCTACCTGGGACCCTTAGCACCTACTGTTCCCAGTGCCAAACACCTTTCCCCAGACCCTCCCAGGGCTGGCTCCCTCTTACACACAGGTCTTAGCTCTAGGGCCCCCTCTTTGCGACCTTCTGACCCTATGCCAAGATGCTTCTGCTCTCCTGCCACTGTCTATCACATGACTCTGATTTCTTCATATCATTTCTCATTGCCTGCGATTATGCTATGTGTTTGCTCATTTGTCTATTGTCTTTCTTCTGCAGGTAGGACTTTGATCTTGTCTTGTTTACTGCTATAGACACCATACAAGGGCAGTTCTCAGCACAGGGTGCACATTTAATATTCACTGAATGGATGAATGAGTCGTTTTTTAACTTCCTTAAAATTTAACAATATATCTTGGAGTGGCAGTACAAATAGATCAATTCATTTTTAAGTGTCTGCATAGTATGCCATAGTGACAGTGGACACAGACTCACCTAATTGTTCCCATTACTGATGAACATTTAGCTACTTCCAGTTTTCCTCTCACAGGCAGTGCTGCAGAGGAATTCCTTGGATATAGCCTGTGCACGTGAGTGCTGTACAGTACATTCCATCTTTGGCCAACATGTTCCCAGCATTTAACACAAAGTGTAAGTCCTGATCAATTTTGCAAACTCACCCTTCAACCCTGAAAGTTCCATCCTTGTGACTCACCTTGACAGAATGTGGCTCTGCCCCAATTCCCTCCCCAAGCCCAGAGTTGGCTCAGGGCCAGGGGTGGGGGCTATTCATCTTTGGCTCTTTAGAGCCAGAGGGCAAAGCAACCCTCAAAACTGGCTTGAATGAAAAACAGAAATAGGTATAGATAGAATTAGAACAAAGATTATGAGAAAAGCTAATGCTTCCGAGTAATAATTAGGGAGACTATTTAATTTACTGTTGAAACCAGGACACTTCCTAGTAATAACACACACTGATGCCTCTGTCAGGACTCTCACTTGCATCGTTCCCTTTAATTCTCACCACAAGCCTGAGGGTGGCACTTTTATTACATGAGGAAGTGAATGCTCAGAGAAGTTAAGTCTGCTGACTGGAGGTTACGTAGCTAATGATGAGAGGTGGAGCTGGGATTCAAACCCAGGTTAGTCCGGGATCCTTAACCACTGTGTTCTAAACACATGATTTGAGTAAATGATTTGTAGGAAGAGAATGTCCTGCTTGGTGGTCATGGGAACCACTCACTATCAGTCCTTTGTGATGGTCAGGGAAAGCAGAGTACAAAAGGGAAGGAGGAGAGAGCAAAAAATATCACCTTTCCCACTTATGCTCTTACAGTGGGACGTGGAGGGTCCTCACAACACACCAGGCCGTCCTCCCTTTCTCTGAAACCCTGTGTGACAGAGATCCCAAAGGCCCAGAGGTAGACCATGTGTTCTTGGCTGGCATGTGCTGTCTTTGGCCCCACTCATGTGAACAACAAAAATCCCCAAGGAAATGAGAGCCCTACAAACAGAAAACACTGCCTCCCTGAAGAAAAGAAAAATACTCTCTTGTCTTAATCACAAGTTCCAAATGGATGTATGAAATATATCTGCCATCAGGTACTCAGTGTTCATCTCAACGGGTGGGAAACATTTAGAAAAACAGAGGTAAAATAGCTAGGCTAAAGCCAAATGTTTCATAAGTAAGGTTTATTAAGTGCCAAATTCAGGGAAGGTAAGAGAGGACACTTGATGGCAGATGCCAGGATGAAATTGTCCAGGAGAACTGGCTTTGGGATAAAAAAAACAAACCAAACCCCTGATGTTTACGAGTTCTCCAGTAAAAATGAACAGAGGTCTCTCTGCTTCCTCCTTGGCAAGATCTGCTCACAGAGTACCCACTGTGATTACAGAAAGTGATTGTGGGAAGAATTCTGTTCGGCGGAGTCATTAACAACCACCGGGGATTTCCACGTTGCCCAGGAAGAAATAACTACTACGCAAATTGCTGTCCTGCCATAAACAACTAGAAAACTCGATGAAAGATATGAAATAAAACTGTCTTCTGACATCGAATACCGGGCAGGGTAGGACTGTGATTCCTGATAGAAGGGAAACAAACACAGTGGCCCTTCCTACTCCAGGCCCGGCCCAGCCTACTGCCGGCCTTAGTTTCCAGGCTGAGGCTCAGGAAGGGGAACCCCAAACTGAGCTCAGCAGTCTCAGTCTTGCTGAGAAGAGAAGACAGATGAGAGAGGGGGGAGGCCAAAGCAGCTAGAATACCAGAGAGGAGAAGCCACACAGTAGGAGCGAGCTCCTGAGAGCTACAATGGAGTCCCCTTGAATCTTGGACTGAACTGATCTGTACATGCAAGCGGTGAGATTCCAAGAGGCTGGGAGAGCATCACCAAAAAGGAATAGGCTGAGCAGTTCCCCAGGCACACACAAGGCTGGGAATAGTGTGTGTTCCCACAGGCGGGGGTGAAGTGACCTCATAATACATGGGACATGAGCTAGAGTCCTCAGAAGTGCATTAGTTCCTAGTGCTACTCTGGACCTGCCCTGACAATTTAAAAGTAAACCTCAAAAGGATTCCGCTGACTGCAGGAAACTTAGATATATGGCAGACGAAAATCCAAAACTCTATGAAGAATACACTAAAATCTAATAATCAACATAATCAACTTCACAATGACTGGTGTCCAATAAAATAGCTGTTATAAATATGTTCCATGAGTTCAAGAATGTAGAGAAATAATGAATGGCATACATGCAAAAACATGTTGCTTAAGAACATTATAATAACCGAAAGAAATAAGACACAAAAGACTGCATACTATATGACTTCACTTTTATGACATTCTGGAAAAAGAAAACTATAGTGACAGAACGCAGCCCAGTGGGTGCCAGGACCTAGGGATGGGCCGGGGAATGACTGTCCTTGGCAGTCGGACCCCATCCTTGGAGGGAAGCCCTTCAGAGCCCTTGCTCTGGGAAAGAAGCAGGACTGGAGGTGATATTTTGATCTTTGCTACGGGATGGTCGGTAAGGAGAAATGTGACTGTGACAACACTGAGGCCCTGGATCCCGCCAGGTCTAAATCCAGATGTGTCCCCACGGGACCAGTAGAATCCCTTTGTTGCAAGTTCTTCTGAGTTGTGACTTTCTCTTGTGATTGAAAGTGACCCAACTGACATAACCTCTCTCACCAGGCAGGACAACACGCCATCACCTAGCATTTCAGTGCTCTCGTTCACTTACCCGAGAGTGAGATTCCTTCCGCAAGCCCATAAGGAAGATACGCAAAAATGATCATCATGCCGAACTCCAAGGAAGGCGTTTTCCTCAAGTCAATATGCTTTAGCACGTAAATGAGTTGTCAAGGAAAGAGAACTGAGGGACAGCTGGTGGGAGATCTAGTGAAGTCACAAAACGGCTGCCTTCCAAATATAAGTTGAACAATAGATAGAAGATTTTGCAACATTCTAAGGTAACAATTGAAAGCCTGTCATCATGGATTTTGTTCTTTGCAGGGAGACAGTTGTTTTAAGAAAGGGAATCTGATAAAGTAAGAATTGTAAATTCTTGAGACAAATGGTAAGGGGGGGT